ATCACTTAATGATCACAGTGTACCGCTGCCTTTCAACTACCGAATTTACTCTGCACATGCTCAGTCTTACAATTAATCAATCTGTGATAATCTTAGTCATTAGACTATTTTATCTGAAGAGTGCTGCATCATGTATGTGTAGCACGAAACTAAATAGTAATAAATATGTCTAATCAAAGCTACTGTTTAACCTCTCATTTTTTGTATATATATATGTATATATTTATATATATATATATATATATATGTATGTATATATATATATATATACATATAAAGGCATTCATGTGTCATTCTTTCTTTCTCGATCTCTCACTTCTCTTTTTACAGTTGACCATTCCGCACTGATGAACACACCTCCACACTTAAAACAGGGTATTTATACTGTCGTTTTTGTTGTCCTTTTTCTGGGGTCGTGGAAACGTATAGAGTTTCCACTGAGAAAGAAAACATGCTGACTCATTCCATCTGTCAAAAAGAATCCCTTAGTCATGTAACGTGTAGCCAAGCATACAACTAACACCTATGCAACACTGGGCTTGCTACACCTAAACACACACAATTTCTAAAGAATTATGTATTTTGTAAACTGTGTTTAAATATTGAAAACCTCCACCATATCACGACTCTTTCAAAGCCATCTCTATTTCAAAGCCATCTCTCCAGCCCTGAACCAAACACAAATAATTCTTCTACCGACAGACAGGCAAAAACGTCAACATGGCCGAACTGAGGAATGTGTACGGATGGATTGCTTTTACTTGTAAGACTTTTCTTCAAATTTTAAAATCTAGTCTAATTCTGCCGAGTGTTATTTTAATTACGGATAATAAACATAAACCAAGTTTTATTATTTTTAGCATGAAAAGTTTTATTTTACTAAATTTCTATCTTTTTACTGTGACCGATGCTGTACGTGGACTTCATTCTGCAAATGAGCTAATTGCAAATTGGTTTAACTCTTGTTTTTTGTTGTTTTTTTACCACCAGTTATCTGTTCACACGTTACCGTATCGTATTTTTTGTTATAAGCATTTTTTAGTGTTTAGTTTACTTCTCTTTATATAATTTTTTGTGTGGTTTCTTGATTTTAGTGTGGTATTTTATTAACATTTAGCCTCAACAGTGGCAGATCCACTGGGGGAAGGGGTTGGGGGAAGGGGTTCCTGGGCCCCCTCCCCGAGTTTTTCTTCTTTTTATACACCAAGCCAAAACAGAAGGCAATGCTGTAACCATGGTTGTTTTAACTTGCATATCAAGCCATAGGCCTATAACTGCATCAGCGGTTGTCAACAGCTATAGTTACAGCATGCACGCAAAGATCGTACGAGGAGGATACCCTACGCGGTTTTATTTACATGATCTTTTGTTACTTTTTTCGCAAGTGACGTCACGATTAAATCGTATATAATGGCCTATAACTCCATAAGAAATTGCCAAAAAGCGTTTTTAAAGTTGATTAGATTATTAATGGCATATCAAAATTCGTTGACGTGTGACAGAACATAAAATATATATTATTTAATAGAAAAACGTATATTTCGTCCTGTCCTCAGGACTTCTTCAGCCTTAATGAAATGTACAGAACTATTGGCATCAATTAAACAAAGCAATCAAAAAGGTGACTAGATAGAGGCGGAGCAAAACCCCGTTAAAAGTCAAATAAATCAATCCTATACATAGTATTGCTATAAACATCATAAGAATAAGACGAGCATAAATATATGTGTGAATGGAATAAATTATCAAGTACACAGTATATGCATAAAGTTAATCTACTAAAGAGCCAAAAAAAGCGACAAAAATATGAGATTTAAGACGGAGGATCCAACGGATCTCAGCACATCTTCTAGCCTCAGGACGAAGTATACGTTTTTCTATTAAATAATATTTATTTTATGTTCTGTCACACGTCAACCTCTGTCATTTATTTTTCGAACTTGTAATCAACTTTAAAAACGCTTTTTGGCAATTTCTTATGGAGTTATAGGCCATTATATACGATTTAATCGTGACGTCACTTGCGAAAAAAGTAACAAAAGATCATGTAAATAAAACCGCGTAGGGTATCCTCCTCGTACGATCTTTGCGTGCATGCTGTAACCATAGATTCTTTTCCTATCCCTCGACTTCTCTTTACATTTTGACCATCCCACAGGTAATCACCGATGATACACCTCCACATTTAAAATAAAATCACGACTGAGGCTCTTTATAGCGTCGTTTTTGTTGTCATTTGCTGGGGTCGATGAAACGTATGCAGTTTCCACGGAGAAAGTATTCTGGTTCATTTCATCGATCAAAAAGAATCCCTTAGTCATGCAACGTGTAGCCATGCCCCGAAAACAAACAACATAGGCTTGACTTGAACGCAGACAATTTCTAAAGAATTATCTCAACCGCATCACGAATCTAGCCTAAAACATACTTATTTTAAAGCCATCTCTCCAGCCCTCAAAACCATTCACATAAGTCTTCTACGACAGACAGGCAAAAACGTCGACATGGCCAAACTGAGGAATGTGTGCGGATGGATTGCTTTTACTTGTAAGACTTTTTTTATAATTTAGTTTAATTCTGCCGAAAGTTATTTTAATTACGAATAAAAAAAAATAAACCAACTTTTATTAATTTTAGCATAACAATTTTTATTTATACTGACTTTCTACTTTTTTACTGTGACCGATGCTGTACATGGACTTCATTCTGCAAATGTGCTAACTGCAAATCGGTTTAACTCCTGTTTTCTGTTGTTTTTTACCACCAATTATCTGTTCACATGTTATTTTTTGTTACACTATAGCATTTTTTTTAGTTTACTTCTCCTTATTTAATTTGTGTGTGTGTTGTTTCTTAATTTTAGTCTGGCATTTTATTAACTTTCATATTCAACAGTGGCCGATCCACTGGGGGAGGGGGGAGGGGAGTACCTGGTTCTCCTCCCCCCACCCCCGAGTTCTTTTTTTTTAACACCAAGCAAAAACAGAAGGCAAAGATAGAGGTGAAGTGATGGATGTTATGAAAAGAATGCAGGCGGAAGAATATACTAGAGAATGTTAGATAATGGAGAGTTGACTAATTAAGGAAAAGATTGGGGGTTGGGGTGGGGTTGGTTCCGTTTCCCTTCCCCTTAAATAAAATCATTGGTTTTTGTGGCAGTATGTGGTTGGGACTGAAACTATAGCCAATGATTCTACACTAGGTGGTTGTACTAGGTGGTGGGGGACCAATACCAGAGGCAGTGGCCGATGCTTACTCAAAAATAGCAGTACCGGTAATATTAGCTGTCCATCGAGTCCGATGCTTGCGTCAGGTGAACCATTGATTTCCATCTGTTTCTGTGTCTGCTGAGGAGCTGCCAGCTACCAATAAGGATCTTCTTATCTTTAAGATTTCTCTTAACAGATAAATTTTGTAAACTTTTTTTGTATACTAAGAGGGCTTGGAAAGAAACATCAGAAATTAAACTTGTTCAAAATCATCATAGTAGATTAAGATCTGTATTGCTGAGCATTGTGTAGTTTTTAATTATGTAGTTTTTAATTATATAACTTTTTTAAACCTAAGTTTTAATTGTTATTTGGTTGAAGACAGCCGAAGCTCTGAAATTTCTTGTTTCCTAGGGGCTATCTGCTCTTTCCTTTCAGTGATTTTTAATTGTTTTTATTTCAGACAATTTTGCTGTTTTGATGTTCTTATACTGTATACCTTGTCGTTTTTATACGGTTTATACATCATTTCCAGCAACCAGTTTTGCTTTAATACCTGTTTATGTTGTATTGAACACAATAAAAATAACTTAAACTTGAACATCCCAGATGTGAGGGCCGATATTTTAGAAAAATAGCCATACTATACACAGGCAGAAGTAGGGGATGGGGCAGAAGAACTGATTCCACCCCCCCCCCCCCATAAATGTAATCGGGGTCCTGCCTACTCACCCAAATCTTATTACCTGTTTCGATTTTTATGGAATATTACCGGTACAAATCATAGTAAATTTGTATTCACAAGCGATTAGCAATATTGACAGTAAGAAACCGACAGAGCACCTAAAGGGACATGGTTAGAAACAATATTAAACTATTTCGAGGAAACGAAATAGTATTTCGTTCTCTCTAAATATTATTTCATTTCCTCTCAATATGGTTTCGTTCCCTCGAAATAATATTGCGTTCCCTCGAAATATTTCGTATATGGTACGCCAGCGGCCTTCGGCATATGTTGATCGTTCGGCGAAAACAGCATAGTATTTCGAGGCAACGAAATAATATTTCAGGGGAACGAAATACTATTTCGATTTCGTTCCATCGAAATGATTTCGAGAGAACAAAATAATATTTCGTTCGAACGAAAATTGATTTCCTTCCCTCGAAATGGTTTCGTTCCCTCAAAATATTATTTGGTTCCCTCGTTCCTTCGAAATAGTTTTTTAATTTTTTTTCTAACCATGTCCCTTTAGGGGCTCCGTAGAAACCTAAGTTTAGTTGTTTATTAAAACAATTGGATATAATTTTTTTTCAGGCACTTAGGATATATCAGTTAATAATGTACTTATTTTTATACAAATAAAAATACAAATAAGTAACAAATAAAAAGTTTGATATGTTGCGAAATCATTAAATGAAATTCAAAAGTTTACCGGTATTAAGTGTAATATGTCACCTCAAATGTCAACTCAAATTTCTAAAATCTGGAACCACCACCATCATCACTGGCCAACACCTCCACTCCCCCTCACCTCGACTTTTCAAGAAATTTCAAAAAGCTGGTCCCCCTTACAAAATCTTGGACCCGCTTATGTTCAATTTGTACTTATCTCTGGCCATCCTCTTCTGTTATTTTTTACCTTGCAATTTAAAGAAAATATTTTTTATTATTATTTTAATGGTATTTCTGTCAGCTTTGCCGCTGGTAAGACCAGCCTTATTTAATGAGTACTGTTTACCCCGGGAGGTTTTGCCTCGATTATATTTTTTTGTTATGTTGCTGCACTGGGGAATGTATCTCAATATTGCACTAAAATAGTTAGAAATAGATAAAATAAAATAAAATAAAAATTTTTTATTAGAATTTACCACTGCGATATCGACACGTTTGGTTGATTATTATTATTTCCAGTGTTAATTAGAGTAAATTTGATAAAATAAAATTCAAAAAGAATACTAGCAATATTAACCTCAATTATCTTTTTTAATGTTTTCAATTTTTAATGAATTTACTTAGATGTGTTCAGACCAAGTCTCTTTGTGTTGTTAACTTTATTTTGTTATATATAATTATTGTAAATTTTATTCCAGTGTTAATACTTGGGGGTGTCAATGCTGAGACCCCCTGTGATACAGATTCCAAAGCCATGACTATAGCAAATCAGGAAGAGTGCTTGAGCCAGATTACCACAGGTAAAAAAAAAACACAGTAAACGATAACGATAACGATAAAAAAGCTAAAAAGTTATTGTTCATATAGAAAACAAAAGAAATAAGAGAAGTTTTTACACTAAGACGATTCGATAACGATTTATCGTGTATACAATAACAAAATATTTTAACAAATTAAATCAAATGACGTCATAATCATGGAAAAACATTAAAATCGTCGTAGTAGCAACGATTCTATCCCCCCACGGAAATTTGTGGAACAGCCCTAATAAGAGCACACTTTGTGAAATATTCAATAGGCAGGGGAGATACGACGATACTTAATCTTATTATAGAATGGTGAATTGTTGAAAGTGAAATATTGATATAGGACCTAAGTAAAAAAAATCTCATCCTAAACATATTTGAAATTCAATAGATCTAAATATTTTATGATTTATATTAAAATATTACATTGTACTAGGATTTTCATTCTACTGAAGGCCTGCTGCTATACCTATATTTGATCGCAAGTTTACTTTTAATTTACCTGTAAATATCCGAAAAAATTCTAAATTATTATAGATAGCCATAGATTTACCATATCTTGCCTATAGGCAGTTAGTCTATTATAGGAATTGAAACACAATATTCACAATAATTGGCAGTTATGATTATTGTTAAAGCCCCATTCCTGGCAAAATTTCAATTTTTAAGAAAAATCTAATTTTTGTATAATGTTATAAA